AAGGAAGAATATGCTTTTTCAGTGGACAAAAAAACTCACGATAGAAACATAAGACTTTGTACTTGAAGATTTAATCGCATCCTCTGAGAGTTTCCCAGCGCAATTGTCATTAATTACTGAGGAAAAGAGGTTAATCAAGGTGGCATTGCTCCATTTGCAATAGAATCATATGGAAGACGCAGGTAATTTTTTCGTATTTTTATTTCCATTCTGGGAAGCTCGAGATTTGAAGGTAGGAGTTTAAGTTTGTCAAAACTAAGATCTAAATAAGTCAACCTTTCAGTATCAATCGCATCCTAGTGTTCATGTACATCGCACGACATGCTGTATCGCAAATTTTTATAAAACCTTTATATAGAGAGAAAACCGTTTACATAAAAACCCATAAAATGGCCATAAATCGACCCTTGGACCACACAGGAGAGACGTAAAACACATTTTAACTAAGGTAAGCTGTTTTTTTATTGAAATCGTTTTATTTTCGTAGGTTACGGAAACGATAGGTTTTTTCCCCATACAAATCCTTATATTTTGAATGTCATGCAACAATGCCAATGTTCGCCGATGCTCATATTTCGAGCTTGGGCTACCTGTGCTGCTACCACGCGTGCGTGAAATTAAATTCTGGCCATGTCCCAGCATTGTTGGCCCAACAATGTTGAGAGTTGTTGCGTCCGATTTCACGTAGCTTTAAGGCTGGTTTTCACCAGTGACAGAGTTGGAGTTGTATTAAATCAGAAGCGTAAAACTTTATGATCTGGTGAAAACCGCATTCTGATTCTGCTTACGACTCTGTCGCTTACAATCAAGAGAAAACTTGGTGGTCGGAGTCGCAAGTAGAATTGAATGAAACAAACCAATCACAAAAGTGCGGGAACATGCATTGTGACTGGTGTTTCCTTCCGCTTGTGCCTTCGACAATTTGGTTTTCACTAGAATGTAAACGATGGAGTAGTAAGCGGAGAAGGAGAGAGTGGAAACATTCTGATTCTTACGACTCCGATTTTTTATTTTTACTAAAAAGACATAAACGCCTTTGCGACCCCAGCTCCATCGCTAATGAAAACCAGCCTTTAGAGGTACAGAACGTTGTAAATTAACGTTGAAATTTTGCACCAAAATTAAAGAGTAATTTGTCACCTATGATATTACAAACAAGGTAACTAATGGAGCATTTGTAATTTAGTCAAGACTACTCCTTCTGAGGTTGAACAATTGTAGCTAATTGTGCAGACACTGATGATGGTTCTTTGGTTTCAAATACCTCTATTTCATCCTCTGAAAAGTCTTTGAATATTTGTGAAAAAGAAACAAGTTGCAATGATTGTGGAGGAAATTAAAGCACAATTCATGGCAGTTTGGAAAAGTGTTCTCTCTGGGCCACGTCCACCCCAAGCGGTCACAAGAAACCAATGTGTCTTAAGATCACAGTTAAAATCAAGGGTCCGAATCAAGGGAGGCAGTTTCATTGTTGTCTCAGACTACAATTCCAGAGTTCCAACCCTGAGGCTCATTGAAAGTGGGTTGATTTTGCAGCTTGTGAGGATGTGCAGTTATCATGGGGTGTTCTCCGACAAGGGCATGAAAGCTTTAAACTTTCCTTTTGAAGGAAGGGAGACCTCTTATTAACATGTTTGCAAGAAATCATTTGGAAACGCAAAAGTAATGAAAGAAGCATGAAATGAGCATTTTGAAAACAGTTTTTCCAGGTCAACTCAAAGGGCATTGCATGATTACATGTAATGTTCTACATGTAATTCTAAGTATGTTCTTGGTTAAAAATTTTCAGATTGAGATCATAGAACCTAAATTTGTTTAATTTTCGTACTGATATTGAAAATATACAAGAATTCACCCTCTAATGTTCCACAACCTTTTTGGTGGAGGGAGGAGAAAGGGAGATTTTAAATCTGCTCTTTTGCGCACTCCTCCAAAAAGATTTCTTTATTATATGGGGGCAATGCACGCATGGAACAGGGCGCTTTCATGGTCTCCATCTCATGTTGCGTTCAACTATTGCCTTTTATACTGGTTCTACATGGTGGCAGCAAACCCTTGAAATGCTGGAAAGAAGAAGCCTGAAAAAAAATGTCAGGGCTTCAACGGGATTCGAACCCGTCACCTCCGCGTTACTGGTGCGTTGCTCTACCAACTGAGCTATGAAGCCACACATTGGGAGGGAGGTCAATTTATTGAGTTCATATCTCCTGTGAGGAGTGAAATGATGTGAAGTATAATTATGAAATAATTCATTTTTGAACTGTGGTTGTAGATGAAAGTGAAGAATGATCATCACAGTAAATTTTCCAATTTAAGCAATTGGAATGAAGAAGCCTGAAAGGCCTGATTTTTTTTCAGGCTTCTTCTCTTCAATTGCTTGAATTGGAAAATTTACTGCGATGATCATTCTTCACTTTCATCTACAACCGCTGTTCAAAAATGAATTATTTCATATATACTTCACATCAAGAAGAACTGCCCTCTGAAACTGATGAAAACTTACTTGTTTAGATTCCTCTCGTCTAGTTTTAGAATTTACAACATAATAAAGAGTAAGCCCACGCAAACGGACATAACATTGTTGGATGTTATCTGTTGTGTCCATTTGCACACCCTGTTGCATGTTGTTGGGAATTCAGTTGCTCAAAGTTTGAAACCGGTCAAACTTTTAGCTACGTGCAAGCAGAGGGAAACAACTCTCAACATTGTTGGGCCAACAAAGTTGGGAGTTGTTGCATCCGTTTGCACGCATAGCTTTACAATCAACCTATCGGTCAACAACTTTATCGACCTCTATGTTTTATTTGTTTATCACACGTAAACCCCCAAAATTGAAACAACACATTAGAAATAAATTTAATGACAAAGTTTATCAAAAGTTTTAAATGAATTAAAGTATAACAACTTTTGATAACCTTTGTCGTCAAAAGACAGGCGTAAGTGTCACTGTTTTTCTGAGTATTTTTAATCTTAAGTTATTGATATTTTGATTTTTCACCAGTGCAATTGAGTTTCAAAAGTGATCTGCCACTGGTTTTGTTTTACTTCGCTTCAGAATCTCTGTAATTGGTCCAGACAACTCGCACCACCCAGTGCGGTTCCTAGGAATGTTCCTTTTCTATGCCTTGGTGGAGAAAGCCAAGCTTTTGGAAATAGTTTTTGATACAATTCCTTAAAAAATACACCACAATTTGACCGAACGACTTGTAAGCCTGTGCATAAGGGATAAGCACCTGCCATTCCCTGAAGGAAACAGATTCAAAACTAGAACCTGCCATGACGTGATCAGTAGGGTTTTGTCGCATCTCAAGGAGTTTGCTTGGTTTGCTTTTAGGGGTTACTGACTCTTTGAGATACTTTCCTTTTCTCTGACTGACTTGATTTTTGTTTTATGACACCAGAAACTCTGATGACACTCAATCAAATGGCACTCAATTCAGCACAGCTGTACCAGTAATGCTAAGAAATATTCAGTAAAGCTTATGAATACCAAAAATGCTCCTTAATTACTGAGTATTCAAAATGTCTCCCTTTATTATTAATTATTATGAATGAAAAAAAAAACAATTAACCAATGATAAGAAGGTGATTAAATACACATCGAATAAATGATTAAAAGTTCAGCCAAGCCACAGATTCAAAAAAACCTACTTCTATCCGATAACATATATTCAAAATGTCTCAGTCTAGTCTTAAATGCTTTATTCTGAATAGCAAAAATCTATGAATTATGAGCTTCAACAACACAAAAAAAGGATTAAACAAGTCAGAAAGTCTACGGAAACAAAAATACTATCATGACTTATTACTAAGCACCTAAAATGTCTCCATCTAGACTAAAATACATTACTATGAACTTAAGGAAACTCCCTTTTTTTGTCAGTTTCCCCTGTCTTCTTCAGCTAACAAAAATTCACTTTTAGTGCTACCCAAATTTATTACATCTTCAATGTGGTTAAGATAATTTGTTGTTCTAAGTTATAAGTGTTTCAAGGGAAAACACGAGCAAGAGTTTTTAAAAACTCTTGCTCGTGTTTGTTCTCAAAACGGTTAAAAGCTTGTGATCACGAGGAGGGGGACATGGAGACTTACGGTATAGAAAGGAGAAGTGTGACGTCATGTTACCATGGTAGCACTATTTTCTGGATGACAACAAAACAGCAAGGAGAACGGCAAAAAATAATATGTTTATATTAACAAACAACAACTTTCCACGTGCATCACGCTATTTTGTACATTTCTTTGCTGTCGTTGCACCACTACGACATGAAACTTCTTAATTTCACGAGCTCGCTTTATGGAGTAGGTGAACACAACACAAAAATTGTCGCTTTCTTTTTCTAAGCTTAGATAAAGACAGATACGGTCCCAAAGAAAATTTCGCCAAGATTTGCCAAATTAGATGAAATTGAATAAGATCGAAAGATTGAAGTTTGAAATAGCGCGAATACACTTTTAAGTGACTTTATCAGTTTGTTGTCATCCAAAAATTTTGCTACCATGGCAACGTGACGTAACGACTTATTGCGGTGTTGAACTTTTTTTCAAGCGGTATTTTGGTAATTTTGATTTTAAAGCGCAGTATTGCGGTATCATTTAGCCCTGTCGTATGCGGTTTTCCATCCTTTTGGCTAACGTTATTCGGTAAAAGAAGATCCTTCACAATATTGCGGTAATGTTCATTGCGCTCTCCTGTCTAATGCACGTCAGTATTTTTGAGACTTTTCACTAATGGTAAATGATTACACAATTTCTGACAGTTAATCTATGACGAAATTGGTAGGGCATCCTTTTCGATCGTTGTACCGATCATAAATGCGGTATCGGTATTTCGTCGATCGACACGGTATTTCGGTATTTGCCAATTTTTGTTACGGTATTGCTGTATTGGGTACCCCCCCCCCATGTCCCCCTCCACGAGGCCCTCTAACAAAGTGTCAATACGTGTGGTTGAGGAGAACTTTACATTGTCCTTCCTGCTTACAAGTTGGCATTACTGTGGGGATGATCCCACATTCCTGCCTACTAGTTGGCAGTAACTACTGTCTTGCTACTGTAGTAGTGATCTCCACCAACCCCCCTCCCCCCACCTTCCCCACCCCTGACAAGCCAAACATATGCTGGGGTGCTTCTGCTATCACTGGCCAACATTCGCAGCAACTTACACTTCTATTTAATTCTGTTATGTGTTATGAATACTAACCTCGACAGGATTCCTAAACAAACTAGATAAAAGCAATGAAAAAATGTATGCCCCACACGATTCATTAGGTGTCATTAGAGGTTTTAAGAAAATGGAATTCAATTGTAAAGCTTAGAAACATCTTCCTAAACAACTCCAATTTTTTCCCAATACCATGGCTAACTAGTAATTTTGCTGCTCATACCACAAGACATTCCTCGAAAACTCGCAGATACACGCCTGTGTAATACGTTTATCTATTGGCTGGCGATTAAAATATTACGAAATACTGAAGCAAATGTTTTAAATCATCTGTTTAGTTAAAACCTAATTAGTCCATGAAATGATCTGAGAATTCTTTGCTGTTTAGCAAACTGTCATATTAAGTGTTTAAGTCAAAGGCGTTACGGCGGTGGCAACAAAGCTGGCAGTAACACAGTCTGGATGCGAGTATTTGCAATCATATTTTTCTTTAGGAAAAAAATACCTGTTCCATCGTTCTGACAAGTTTCAGGAACACGAGTGGAAATTTTAAAGTTCAAGAAACGCAGCGAAAGCAGGAGCCTTGTATCCTCAAGTTTCTTCAGAGCTCTTTCTTGCCATCTCAAACTTTTACGAGACATTACTAGTTAAGTGTTTTTGTGGAGGTACAGAAGTACGGCTTTTGGCCCTCATATTGCCATTAACTGTTCTCTAATTATTACTTCACGCCGGGTCAGCTGTCGCGATATTTCAGGTCACTTACTTGAAGCCAAGGAACTACTTTTACAGCTTTTATTGCCGGTTTGAGCCCAAAGTTTGTTACCCCGCAAGCAGAGGCTACATTTTCGCGGTATGAGCTGGCCATCTAATAACGCGAGCCTCTGCTCGCAGGGTAAAAGTTTGTAGGATGGTAGAACTTTGTATTCTAAACAATTGTACGTTTTTTGTTTTTCAATTTTAACGGTTTTTGGCGGGAAAATGACGTCAAATGATTGACAACAAAATTGCAATTTCAACTAATGGTATAACAAATTAAAGACAAATAGTTTTTCAAGAGATGGGATAAAATCACTTGATTAAGAAGATATTAAGATTTGATTTTTGAATTTCCTGCCATTTTGCTACTATTTTTAAGGAAACACAGGCTCATTTCAAAATGCTATATCTCTTAAAGAAACTGAGCTTTTCAAAAATCTTTTTCTCATTTGCCTCTATCCCGTCGTGCTCTTTAAAAAAATAAGCTGTTTGTTACGTCACTTGTTGAAGTTTAAATTTTGCTCTCAACCATGTGACCGAGTTTTGCCGCCAAAAACCGTTAAAATCGAAAAACAAAATACATACGAATGTTTGGAGTACAAAATTAAGTTCTACTATCTTGAAAACTTTGGGCTGAAACAGATGAACTTGAACTGTAAAAGTAGTTCCTTGGCTTTAACTGACCCAAAAATCGCGACAGCTGACCCGGCGTGCTTTAGTTGATAACTATAGCTGCTGAGAATGCTGACCTTTCCTTTGGCAGTTGATTGTTCATTCTATATCAGTACGGTTTGGGAAGCTCAAAGTCTCCACACTTAATTTTCTCAATCCCTGGGGGTGGTTTCAACTTTGGTTGCTCCTCTGGGGCTTCATTGACAATCAATGCCATTCCCTCAAGCAGGTGCCCGTCTATGTGGCAGTGAAGAAACCAATGGCCAGGATTATCGGATATGAAATTGATGACAACGTATCCCCCGGCAGGGACTGTAACTGTGTCCTTCCTTACCGTATATGGATTTATAGAAAAGAGCATTGTCGCGTTCGCCCACCTTGGTCTGGTACAACTCTTACTGTCGCAGCCATCCTTTGTGCAATTGACATCATCACAGGAAATATCTTTGTTGTGTTCTTTGACAAAACCATCGTCCGGATTATACTCTGGATATCCAACATGAACAACATGAAATGAATGGCCATGAAGGTGAATTGGATGAGAATGGCTCATCCTGCCAATACTTGAAAACACGAATTGAACAGTTTTCATGTATGGAATGTCAATCTTATAGACACACGAGCAATCGATTGTCGATGGATTGCAATCAGCACTGTTGTTACAAATTGGGGACTTCGTGCGAAAATCTTTATTTTGCGTTTGGGGTGGAAAGGAGGGAAGGATGAAATTGCGCCCATTCACTGAACTAGTAGTAGAGGAACCCTCAAAATTGAAATTGATGAAATGCGTACAATTTTGGCAACTTGCTTGAGGTTTTGGAAGTTCGTTGTCTGGAGTTGGCTCAAGTAAACTAAAGTTTTGAACGTTAATACAGGTAATGTTATAGGAGGGATGGAATTTCTCAAATGGACAGTTCACCGCTTTGCATTTTTTGTCTTTGGAGCAATTACGGGCTGGAGAATTATTTTTTATACTTTCATATTCTGTGGACGGTATATCATCATCCGGATTTCCCCTCTCTGTTCCTTCTTTGTAGTGCAGAATAGCCTCTGCCACATGGTTTCGTGTCGGGTAGGGTGGCTCTTCCGAGGTTTTATTTATCTCCAGTGTCTCTGCACGTATCCAGTAGTCTTTTACGTTTTCTTTTGCTTTTAGTAGAAAGTCATACCTCTCTCCAGTTTGGATAATGATATAGTCAACGTCATCTATGGGTTTAATCCAATAGCCGTCTGTGGCCACCACAGTCAGCTTATGACCATCAATGGAGAATTTGTAAGCGTACCCTTCTTGGGCTCCAATCAGTCTGAAGCGATATGTCGTTTCGGGCTTAACAGTAAATATGCTCAGTCTTGTTTTATTGTATGGAACATCAGGATGTCTTCCTTTGCCATTTATGATTCCAGAAAAATACGGGATAGGGCCAGCCCCTCCATTATCAAAACTAACGGTGGGGAACAATTTTTTGTAATCTGGAGTTGGTACCTCGCCAATTGGCTTGTCTGCATAAAAACCACCAGCTTTAAACTGTGTGAAGAGATCCAAGGATGCCTGATTTTGCCATTCGATAAGCGTTAAGGTATGCTGATCTGGAAGGTCCTCAAATTCAAGGTTTAAAATCCGAGCGAGATTTTCCATTCTTTCTTTTTTTTCTTTAACTATAAGACCACCGAAAAGGCCATCTGTTCTTTGTGTGCCACTGTGAGAGTGGTACCAGAACGTCCCAGCAGGACTAGCCTTATACTGGTATGAAAAGCTAGATGAGGGTCCTATCTGACATTGAGTTACTTGTCCCACGCCATCCATATAAGGTGAATCTCTCTGGTGTATCCCATGCCAGTGAACGGAAATACCTTCAGTGGTAAGGTTGTTGTGAACATGAACTGTAACATTTTGCCCCTCGTGAACAATCAAGGTAGGTCCAGGAATCTGTCCGTTGACGGCTATTGCCATACGGTACGTTTTACCATCTACAAACTGAGGGCTAGTGCAATTCGCATTGTTCAGTGTTCTACATTGTCCCATGGCCCTGCTATCGACAGGCACTGGTATTCCACTTTCATTGAAATAATAACCCACTCCTTCGAAGCCACGCGTAGCTATTCCTGTAGGTTCATTTACGAATAACTTTTCATAACTGGTGAAGGTTTGAATTTCGTCAATTTCAAGGTTGAATATACAAAACTCTGCCGTTTCGTTGCATTCACAACTTGACTTGCCATGTTCACAATAGAGGGTTTCTACAACGCTGTTGTTGTTAATGTTGTTGTTGTTGTTGTTGTTGTTATTGTTGTTGTTGTTGTTGTTGTTGTTGTTGTTATTGTTGTTGTTGTTTTGTTGTTGTTGTTGTTGTTATTATTGTTATTGTTATTGTTGTTATTGTTGTTGTTGTTATTGTTATTGTTATGATGATGATGTCCAAACGGGGGCCTTCTTTGATTCCCACGATGGTATCCAAACTGGGACCATCTTTGATTCCCAGGCTGGTGTCCAGACGGGCGCCCTCTATGAATCCCATGATGTTGTCCAAACGGGGGCCCTCCATGAATCCCATGATGGTGTCCTGACGGCTCCCTGCGGATCATTTCCTCAACCTTTACATTGTTGATGAACGCTATAAAGAGAGAATATGGAAAAGGCATTTAGTTGCGTAGCTTAACACGTAAGAACTTGTGTTGTTGAAGTCAAACGCCAAAACTGTACTTACCTTTATTGGTACTTTATTTCACGGGTCTTTAATTTCGCGTTTTCCCGATTGCAAAAAAATCGCAAAAATAAGGACCCGCGAAAATAAATCCTCGTGAAATTTAAGCACGCGAAATTAAATACTCGTGTAGAAAATTCAAATCACAGGAAAAAAAATATCAACTTGAAATAGCAACATCATATACGGGATATGTATCGACAATATACCTTGTTAACTGGTTAGACTGGTAAACTTCGTTTTGTATATTCAGAGTGAAACAAGGTTAATTTGTAAAGCTTTCACACATTGCTTTACAGGTTAACTAGAAATTTGAGAATGCTTAAATCGCGAAATTTAATGTCCTTTTCTCATATTTGCGCGTTGAAATCGCGAAAATAAAACCTCGCGAAATACTCTCTCGCGAAAATCGCGAAATTAGGTAGCAAAAGCTCACTTACTAGTCGCACCGCGCCTTTATTTAGCCAACTTAAAGTCCGTGACTTATATATAGCATCAATGCTGATCTTTTATGTACCCGTATCACCATGCTCATTTGCCAGTAGCTTCCTTAACCTCTTTTTAAGGGACCGTACGTTTATTACATCCCGGTCGGGGGTGGGGGGAAGCGTTCAGAAAAGCATTGTGTATCAAAACTGTACCCCCTTAAAATAATTACATATGACCATTGAACCCCTCCTTGGCAATTTTTATTTTTAAAATGCACCCCCCCTCTCCAAACTGTTCTAGACTAAGTCTCTTCTTCCATCCTTGGGCATTGATTTCATAAGCTATAAGATGCCGGTAGTTGACAACATAGCGTGTGATTTTGAAGGTGCACGCGGGGGAAGAAACCTGGGGGAGTCTGGGGGCATGCTCCCCCAGAGATTTTTCAAATTTAGGGTCTCGGAAGTGCCATCTCTTGCGTTTTCTTCACCATTTTCAGTAAATAAAGACGATCGGTAAAGTACAAACTGTTTACGGCAAACAAGGGTAAAACAGTGGCGCCATCAAGGACGTTATAATTACAAGCGGGCGAGATGTGTACCCTTCAGACGGGTAAAACTGTTATAATGCCATGTGCATGTGAAGAATTGCAAGAGAGCTCAGTCTCTCGTCTGTCACGGTCCTTCGTAAAAGAGTTTGCAGTCTCCACAAACCGCTGAAGCTACGCTCAGCTGTGCATGTTGACAGGATAAATCAACTAAGTTATGAGAGCTACATTATACCCCGGGATAGAATTGCAGTTGGCATGGTCAAAAGTCTCAACCATTGCAGGGTCTGCGGCTTCACATTCGGATCCATTTCACTCCACTTAATCAGTAAAAGGATAAAGGAAATCCTAACACAAAATCACCAATATAATGATAAAAATGCCTTCGGGAAACGAAAATCTATATATTTTCTTCCGGATTTCAGCTGTATGCATAGGCGTATGTGCCTTCATGCACGCTACATTCCTGGTAGCAGAAATAGCTGATAGGTTTCTGGGCCAAGCTATATACGGGTAACATTTTATTGTTGGCAAAGAACCATAATATAGTTGGACAACTGTTACATAGAAGGCCAGCCCTGTGTCTTAATATTTCGACCCCTCTCACGTTTTGTGCATTTTCAAAATTGACCTCCCAAAATCAAGCCTCTTAGAAAATTGTACCCCCCTCCCAAACCCCGCCTCCCCTGGACGTAATAAACGTACGGTCCCTAAGTAGTAGCCAGGTCCATCATTATGAAACTCGACTAGCCTATAAGTATATACTGTAGACCGCATTTTTGTGGAATGAATATTCAGCGGTTCAGTATCCTTTATCGGGGACCAAAAATCTGGATTTCGTTGCCTAGTTCATTAACCAACTCTTCTTCCACATTTGTTTTTTTTTTTAAAATCTTGGAATTATCCCATTGATGGTCATTCTGTCGCTTATTAAGTTTTATGTTTTCTTTATACTCTGTTCTCAAGCAGGTAATTACTGAGTAATCTAGCTTAAGGAAGCCTATGAATATTTATAAAATAACTATACGATGGCCCAAGAGGGTCACAGTCCAGTATTGGTTTTTGACAGTCCAGTTGTGGTTTTACACAGTCTAATTTTATTTTTACACAGTCCAGTTTTAATTTTTACAGAGTCCAGTAAGTGTTTTAATTTTTACACAGTCCATTTTTACACAGTTTTCTGTGTAGTTACCAGACCTCTCTCGCTCTACTGTAACAAGCGTTATCTCACGGCAGTCATTTTGTATTTCCTTGCAACGATGGATTCAATCATCAGGCAGGTTGTTCAAGAGGAACTGAGACGTTCAAATTCTAGTCGTCCAGAAACTGCGTCTTCTACTAATCAAGATGATCAGGGAAGAAGTGAAAACGAATCAGGTGTGGCTGGATCATCACGAAGTTCGTTTTCATCACGAACAGTGGGCCGGTTGGGGTGTTTCTAAAACGAAGACCTAAGACCCCCAGGGAGGGAGGTACTCCCTATAAGGGCTTAATGGGGACGAGCAGCCAGCCAGGGTACGTTTTTCGGGATTTTTGTCTTAAACAGGGTATGATTTTATATTATCATTTTTTGTCTTAATCAGGGTATCGATTTTATCAATTTTTCAAACAGGGTATCTTTTCTTGGACGATAAACACCCTGCGAGGGTCTTCGTTTTAGTCCAGAGGGTCTTCGTTTTAGTCCAAGGGTCTTCGTTTTAGTCCACGGGGTCTTAGGTCTTAGCCCGGGGGTACTCGATATATCCTTGGGTCGGAAGGTGCGGTCCGGCCCCTTATACCCCGACCCTGTTTAAGACAAAAATCGCTGATTTTCCTACCCTGTTTAAGACAGAATTCCGATTTTGATACCCTGTTTAAGACATTCGTAGAACATACGCGCAGGCTGTTTATCGTTTATCGTTCAAAAAACTGAAAAATCGATACCCTGTTTGAAAAATCTGATAAAAAATCGATACCCTGATTAAGACAAAAAATGATAAAATCGATAAACCCTGTTTATGACAAAAATCCAACGTTCAAAAACATACCCTGGCTGGCTGCGTTGCCCGTAACAATTTGCCAACAGAAAACAAAGGATTGTGCACTTTCACGGTTCTTTGAACATAAACTGCAGCACTGTTGTTTTTATCATTGATGTTTGCCGCCTTTCATAACCAGTCTCCTCTAATAACTATGGTTTTAGAAACACCCCAAACGGCCCACTGTTCGTGATGAAAACGAACTTCGTGATGATCCAGCCACATCTGATTCGTTTTCACGTCTTCCCTGATCATCTTGATTAGTAGAAGACGCAGTTTCTGGAAGACTAGAATTTGAACTTCTCAGTTCCTCTCGAACAACCTGCCTGATGACTGAATCCATCGTCGCAAGGAAATACAAAATGGCTGCCGTGAGATAACACGTGTTACAGTAGAGCCAAAGAGGTCTGGTAACTACACAGGAAATAAAACTGGACTGTGTAAAAAAATAAAACTGGACTGTGTATTGACCGTGTAAAAATAAAACTGGACTGTGAAAAAAAAAATAAAACTGGACTGTGTAAGAAATAAAACTGGACTGTGTAAAAAATAAAACTGGATTGTGTAAAAAATAAAACTGGACTGTGTAAAAAATAAAACTGGACTGTATAAATATTAAAACTGGACTTTGTAAAAAATAAAACTGGACTGTGTAAAAATTTAAACTGGACTGTATAAATATTAAAACTGGACTGTGTAAAAAAATAAAACTGGACTGTGTAAAAATTAAAACTGGACTGTATAAATATTAAAACTGGACTGTGTAAAGGGAAAGGGAAAGTTATTTTATAAAAGCAATAGAAAACTTTTTTCCTGTGTTTGCATAGCCTGATATGAGCACTCGAGGCGTTGGGAGAATTCTCGATAGTTATGCAAACCCTCGACTTCGTCTCGGGTTTGCATAACTGTCTCGAATTCTCCCAACCCCTCTCGTGTTTATAAGACGGTAACGAAGTTCAGGAAAAGAAAAACAAAGTCGTTGTTTTGTGTTCACGTCCTCCACAATACGTGAAGTTAGGCATTTTCACGTCGTAGTCGTGCAGTGACGGCAAAGCCATGTACAAAAAGCATGATGCACGTGCAGAGCTGTTGTTTTGCCAATCTAAACCTATTCCTGTTTTGCCCTTCTCGCTGACATCCCTGTCGTCTTTGCTTAAGCTCCCTAATAGGCTCCCACGCAGAAGTTCTTAGGGGTGCGTCACACGTTCCTGTGGCTAATGAATATGAGCTCTCAGTTAGGATTCGTTAGGCTTCCTTGTCACATTAACTTTTTTAACAATCTATTTGACAGCTATTGTTCAATTCGCTTAATGTTTGTACGTTTTGTGAGTGACTAAATGAATAAATAAACAAAAAATAAACTTACCTGGACTGTCGTGTTCAGCGACTCGTGGTTCTTCCTTTCCCTTAAAGTGAACAGCTGAAAAAGACGTAATGATTTTATAAGCTCAGCTCCGCAAGTTAGGACATTTTTAAATTGTGTTTTGATAACTAGATCCATACACAGAGGGCCAAAACGTCTAACAAGTGCCTTTTTGTGGCAACCATTTTGGAAACACTAGTGTGTGTGTGTGTGTAACTGAGAGTTCGGCAAACTGTTGGTAGAGACTGAAAATAACCGAAATTTCTATCGCTGCCAGACTCACGAAAAGAAAATCTATATATTTTTTTTCCGGATTTCAGCTGTATGCATAGGCGTATGTGCCTTCATGCACGCTACATTCCTGGTAGCAGAAATAGCTGATAGGTTTCTGGGCCAAGCTTTATACGGGTAACATTTTATTGTTGGCAAAGAACCATAATATAGTTTGACAACTGTTACATAGAAGGCCAGCCCTATGTCTTAATATTTCGACCCCTCTCACGTTTTGTGCATTTTCAAAATTGACCTCCCAAAATAAAGCCTCTTAGAAAATTGTACCCCCCTCCCAAACCCCCCCTCCCCTGGACGTAATAAACGTACGGTCCCTAAGTAGTAGCCAGGTCCATCATTATGAAACTCGACTAGCCTATAAGTATATACTGTAGACCGCATTTTTGTGGAATGAATATTCAGCGGTTCAGTATCCTTTATCGGGGACCAAAAATCTGGATTTCGTTGCCTAGTTCATTAACCAACTCTTCTTCCACATTTGTTTTTTTTTTTAAAATCTTGGAATTATCCCATTGATGGTCATTCTGTCGCTTATTAAGTTTTATGTTTTCTTTATACTCTGTTCTCAAGCAGGTAATTACTGAGTAATCTAGCTTAAGGAAGCCTATGAATATTTATAAAATAACTATACGATGGCCCAAGAGGGTCACAGTCCAGTATTGGTTTTTGACAGTCCAGTTGTGGTTTTACACAGTCTAATTTTATTTTTTACACAGTCCAGTTTTAATTTTTACAGAGTCCAGTAAGTGTTTTAATTTTTACACAGTCCATTTTTATTTTTTTTACACAGTCCAGTTTTATTTTCTGTGTAGTTACCAGACCTCTCTCGCTCTACTGTAACAAGCGTTATCTCACGGCAGTCATTTTGTATTTCCTTGCAACGATGGATTCAATCATCAGGCAGGTTGTTCAAGAGGAACTGAGACGTTCAAATTCTAGTCGTCCAGAAACTGCGTCTTCTACTAATCAAGATGATCAGGGAAGAAGTGAAAACGAATCAGGTGTGGCTGGTTGGGGTGTTTCTAAAACGAAGACCTAAGACCCCCAGGGGAGGGAGGTACTCCCTTATATGGGCTTAATGGGGACGAGCAGCCAGCCAGGGTACGTTTTTCGGGATTTTTGTCTTAAACAGGGTATGATTTTATATTATCATTTTTTGTCTTAATCAGGGTATCGATTTTATCAATTTTTCAAACAGGGTATCTTTTCTTGGACGATAAACACCCTGCGAGGGTCTTCGTTTTAGTCCAGAGTGTCTTTGTTTTAGTCCAAGGGTATTCGTTTTAGTCCACGGGGTCTTAGGTCTTAGCCCGGGGGGGTACTCGATATATCCTTGGGTCGGAAGGTGCGGTCCGGCCCCTTATACCCCGACCCTGTTTAAGACAAAAATCGCTGATTTTCCTACCCTGTTTAAGACAGAATTCCGATTTTGATACCCTGTTTAAGACATTCGTAGAACATACGCGCAGGCTGTTTATCGTTCAAGAAAAGATACCCTGTTTGAAAAACTGATAAAATCGATACCCTGATTAAGACAAAAAATGATAAAATCGATACCCTGTTTATGACAAAAATCCCGAAAAACATACCCTGGCTGGCTGCACGTCCCCATTAAGCCCTTATAAGGGAGTACCCCCCCCGGGGGTCTTAGTCTTCGTTTTTGGGTCTTCGTTTTAGAAACACCCCAAACGGCCCACTGTTCGCGATGAAAACGAACTTCGTGATGATCCAGCCACATCTGATTCGTTTTCACGTCTTCCCTGATCATCTTGATTAGTAGAAGACGCAGTTTCTGGAAGACTAGAATTTGAACTTCTCAGTTCCTCTCGAACAACCTGCCTGATGACTGAATCCATCGTCGCAAGGAAATACAAAATGGCTGCCGTGAGATAACACGTGTTACAGTAGAGCCAAAGAGGTCTGGTAACTACACAGGAAATAAAACTGGACTGTGTAAAAAAATAAAACTGGACTGTGTATTGACCGTGTAAAAATAAAACTGGACTGTGAAAAAAAAATAAAACTGGACTGTGTAAGAAATAAAACTGGACTGCGTAAAAAATAAAACTGGATTGTGTAAAAAATAAAACTGGACTGTGTAAAAAATAAAACTGGACTGTATAAATATTAAAACTGGACTTTGTAAAAAATAAAACTGGACTGTGTAAAAATTTAAACTGGACTGTATAAATATTAAAACTGGACTGTGTAAAAAAATAAAACTGGACTGTGTAAAAATTAAAACTGGACTGTATAAATATTAAAACTGGACTGTGTAAAGGGAAAGGGAAAGTTATTTTATAAAAGCAATAGAAAACTTTTTTCCTGTGTTTGCATAGCCTGATATGAGCACTCGAGGCGTTGGGAGAATTCTCGACAGTTATGCAAACCCTCGACTTCGTCTCGGGTTTGCATAACTGTCTCGAATTCTCCCAACCCCTCTCGTGTTTATAAGACGGTAACGAAGTTCAGGAAAAGAAAAACAAAGTCGTTGTTTTGTGTTCACGTCCTCCACAATACGTGAAGTTAGGCATTTTCACGTCGTAGTCGTGCAGTGACGGCAAAGCCATGTACAAAAAGCATGATGCACGTGCAGAGCTGTTGTTTTGCCAATCTAAACCTATTCCTGTATGCCCTTCTCGCTGACATCCCCGTCGTCTTTGCTTAAGCTCCCTAATAGCCTCCCACGCAGAAGTTCTTAGGGGTGCGTCACACGTTCCTGTGGCTAATGAATATGAGCTCTCAGTTAGGATTCGTTAGGCTTCCTTGTCACATTAACTTTTTTAACAATCTATTTGACAGCTATTGTTCAATTCGCTTAATGTTTGTACGTTTTGTGAGTGACTAAATAAATAAATAAACAAAAAATAAACTTACCTGGACTGTCGTGTTCAGCGACTCGTGGTTCTTCCTTTCGCTTAAAGTGAACAGCTGAAAAAGACGTAATGATTTTATAAGCTCAGCTCCGCAAGTTAGGACATTTTTAAATTGTGTTTTGATAACTAGATCCATACACAGAGGGCCAAAACATCTAACAAGTGTCTTTTTGTGGCAACCATTTTGGAAACACTAGTGTGTGTGTGTGTGTGTAACTGAGAGTTCGGCAAACTGTTGGTAGAGACTGAAAATAACCGACATTTCTATCGCTGCCAGACTCACGAAAAGAAAATCTATATATTTTTTTTTTCCGGATTTCAGCTGTATGCATAGGCGTATGTGCCTTCATGCACGCTACATTCCTGGTAGCAGAAATAGCTGATAGGTTTCTGGGCCAAGCTTTATACGGGTAACATTTTATTGTTGGCAAAGAACCATAATATAGTTGGACAACTGTTACATAGAAGGCCAGCCCTATGTCTTAATATTTCGACCCCTCTCACGTTTTGTGCATTTTCAAAATTGACCTCCCAAAATAAAGCCTCTTAGAAAATTGTACCCCCCTCCCAAACCCCCCCTCCCCTGGACGTAATAAACGTACGGTCCCTAAGTAGTAGCCAGGTCCATCATTATGAAACTCGACTAGCCTATAAGTATATACTGTAGACCTCATTTTTGTGGAATGAATATTCAGCGGTTCAGTATCCTTTATCGGGGACCAAAAATCTGGATTTCGTTGCCTAGTTCATTAACCAACTCTTCTTCCACATTTGTTTTTTTTTTAAAAATCTTGGAATTATCCCATTGATGGTCATTCTGTCGCTTATTAAGTTTTATGTTTTCTTTATACTCTGTTCTCAAGCAGGTAATTACTGAGTAATCTAGCTTAAGGAAGCCTATGAATATTTACAAAATAACTATACGATGGCCCAAGAGGGTCACAGTCCAGTATTGGTTTTTGACAGTCCAGTTGTGGTTTTACACAGTCTAATTTTATTTTTTACACAGTCCAGTTTTAATTTTTACAGAGTCCAGTAAGTGTTTTAATTTTTACACAGTCCATTTTTATTTTCTGTGTAGTTACCAGACCTCTCTCGCTCTACTGTAACAAGCGTTATCTCACGGCAGTCATTTTGTATTTCCTTGCAACGATGGATTCAATCATCAGGCAGGTTGTTCAAGAGGAACTGAGACGTTCAAATTCTAGTCGTCCAGAAACTGCGTCTTCTACTAATCAAGATGATCAGGGAAGAAGTGAAAACGAATCAGGTGTGGCTGGATCATCACGAAGTTCGTTTTCATCACGAACAGTGGGCCGGTTGGGGTGTTTCTAAAACGAAGACCTAAGACCCCCAGGGGAGGGAGGTACTCCCTTATAAGGGCTTAATGGGGACGAGCAGCCAGCCAGGGTACGTTTTTCGGGATTTTTGTCTTAAACAGGGTATGATTTTATATTATCATTTTTTGTCTTAATCAGGGTATCGATTTTATCAATTTTTCAAACAGGGTATCTTTTCTTGGACGATAAACACCCTGCGAGGGTCTTCGTTTTAGTCCAGAGTGTCTTTGTTTTAGTCCAAGGGTATTCGTTTTAGTCCACGGGGTCTTAGGTCTTAGCCCGGGGGGGTACTCGATATATCCTTGGGTCGGAAGGTGCGGTCCGGCCCCTTATACCCCGACCCTGTTTAAGACAAAAATCGCTGATTTTCCTACCCTGTTTAAGACAGAATTCCGATTTTGATACCCTGTTTAAGACATTCGTAGAACATACGCGCAGGCTGTTTATCGTTCAAGAAAAGATACCCTGTTTGAAAAACTGATAAAATCGATACCCTGATTAAGACAAAAAATGATAAAATCGATACCCTGTTTATGACAAAAATCCCGAAAAACATACCCTGGCTGGCTGCACGTCCCCATTAAGCCCTTATAAGGGAGTACCCCCCCGGGGGGTCTTAGGTCTTCGTTTTAGAAACACCCCAAACGGCCCACTGTTCGTGATGAAAACGAACTTCGTGATGATCCAGCCACATCTGATTCGTTTTCACGTCTTCCCTGATCATCTTGATTAGTAGAAGACGCAGTTTCTGGAAGACTAGAATTTGAACTTCTCAGTTCCTCTCGAACAACCTGCCTGATGACTGAATCCATCGTCGCAAGGAAATACAAAATGGCTGCCGTGAGATAACACGTGTTACAGTAGAGCGAAAGAGGTCTGGTAACTACACAGGAAATAAAACTGGACTGTGTAAAAAATAAAACTGGACTGTGTAAAAAATAAAACTGGACTGTGTAAAAAATAAAACTGGACTGTATAAATATTAAAACTGGACTTTGTAAAAAATAAAACTGGACTGTGTAAAAATTTAAACTGGACTGTATAAATATTAAAACTGGACTGTGTAAAAAAATAAAACTGGACTGTGTAAAAATTAAAACTGGACTGTATAAATATTAAAACTGGACTGTGTAAAGGGAAAGGGAAAGTTATTTTATGAAAGCAATAGAAAACTTTTTTCCTGTGTTTGCATAGCCTGATATGAGCACTCGAGGCGCTGGGAGAATTCTCGACAGTTATGCAAACCCTCGACTTCGTCTCGGGTTTGCATAACTGTCTCGAATTCTCCCAACCCCTCTCGTGTTTATAAGACGGTAACGAAGTTCAGGAAAAGAAAAACAAAGTCGTTGTTTTGTGTTCACGTCCTCCACAATACGTGAAGTTAGGCATTTTCACGTCGTAGTCGTGCAGTGACGGCAAAGCCATGTACAAAAAGCATGATGCACGTGCAGAGCTGTTGTTTTGCCAATCTAAACCTATTCCTGTATGCCCTTCTCGCTGACATCCCCGTCGTCTTTGCTTAAGCTCCCTAATAGCCTCCCACGCAGAAGTTCTTAGGGGTGCGTCACACGTTCCTGTGGCTAATGAATATGAGCTCTCAGTTAGGATTCGTTAGGCTTCCTTGTCACATTAACTTTTTTAACAATCTATTTGACAGCTATTGTTCAATTCGCTTAATGTTTGTATGTTTTGTGAGTGACTAAATAAATAAATAAACAAAAAATAAACTTACCTGGACTGTCGTGTTCAGCGACTTGTGGTTCTTCCTTTCGCTTAAAGTGAACAGCTGAAAAAGACGTAATGATTTTATATGCTCAGCTCCGCAAGTTAGGACATTTTTAAATTGTGTTTTGCAATAACTAGATCCATACACAGAGGGCCAAAACAACTAAAAAGTGTCTTTTTGTGGCAACCATTTTGGAAACACTAATGTGTGTGTGTGACTGAGAGTTCGGCAAACTGTTGGTAGAGACTGAAAATAACCGACATTTCTATCGCTGCCAGACTCACGAAAAGAAAATCTATATATTTTTTTTTTCCGGATTTCAGCTGTATGCATAGGCGTATGTGCCTTCATGCACGCTGCATTCCTGGTAGCGAAGTAGCTGATAGGTTTCTGGGCCAAGCTTTATACGGGTAACATTTTATTGTTGGCAAAGAACCATAACATAGTTTGACAACTGTTTCATAGAAAGCCAGCCCTGTGCCTTAATATTTCGACCCCTCTCACGTTTTGTGCATTTTCAAAATTGACCCCCCAAAATCAAGCCTCTTAGAAAATTGTACCCTCCCCCCCCCCCCCACCCCCCCAAACCCCCCTCCCCTGGGGCGTAATAATCTTACGGTCCCTAAGTAGTAGCCAGGTCCATCATTATGAAACTCGACTAGCCTATAAGTATATACTGTAGACCTCATTTTTGTGGAATGAATATTCAGCGGTTCAGTATCCTTTATCGGGGACCAAAAATCTGGATTTCGTTGCCTAGTTCATTAACCAACTCTTCTTCCACATTTGTTTTTTTTTAAAAAATCTTGGAAATATCCCATTGATGGTCATTCTGTCGCTTATTAAGTTTTATGTTTTCTATATAAACTGTTCTCAAGCAGGTAATTACTGAGTAATCTACAATACTCGTCACAAATCGTTGAAACAGACACCGTTTCTCTCGAATTTTCTGGAAAAATCATGATATTTCTACTTCACACTGTTTTCCCCCCTGAAATGTGCCTTCTCCCTCCTTAATGTTGAGCCACGCGTATTTTGAAGCACTGAGACCACTGAGATACCCAAATCAACATTGGGGAAGGGGAAATAGACACAAGTGTTTCAAGATTTTTGACGAGTATTGTTGGGACTATTGTAGCTTAAGGAAGCCTATGGATGATATAGCCTCCCACGTAGACGTTCTTAGGGGTTCGTCACACGTTCCTGTGGCTTATGAATATGAGCTCTCAGTTAGGATTCGTTAGGCTTCCTTGCCACATTAACTTTTTTTTAACAATTTATTTGACAGCTATTGTTCACTTCGCTTAATGCTTGTATGTTTTGTGAGTGACTAAATAAATAAATAAACAAAAATAAACTTACCTGGACTGTCGTGTTCAGCGACTCGTGGTTCCTCCTTTCGCTTAAAGTGAACAGCTGAAAAAGACGTAATGATTTTATAAGCTCAGCTCCGCAAGTTAGGACATTTTTAAATTGTGTTTTGCAATAACTAGATCCATACACAGAGGGCCAAAACATCTAACAAGTGTCTTTTTGTGGCAACCATTTTGGAAACACTGATGTGTGTGTGTGTAACTGAGAGTTCGGCAAACTGTTGGTAAAGACTGAAAATAACCGAAATTTCTATCGCTGCCAGACTCACGCAAAACTTGTTTTGAAAGCCGGACTGTTTTTAAAAAGGACGCTCTAAAACTCACGGCTAGAAATAAGTTTATTTTTGACGGTCATATTCTGATCTATTCTTGTTGCACGTGAAAGATTCCTGTCGGCCTACTAGTTAACAAAATCTAATAATAATAAATCTAACAATAACTTAATAATAAATTTTTGTACCTGATACATAGCATTCCATGGCACAGAGAGTTACCAAAGCAAACGCCAAAATTGCAGTGCTCTTCATTTTTTCTCTTTGGCAGTCCTGTATACTTAAATAAAACAAGCAAAATTAATATGACCGGATGACCGAGACAATCATTAATGACACAAAAATACCATCTGAAAAAAAAGGCCATCTGTAATGCTACGTGCAAACGGACCTAACAGCTCCTAACAATGTTGGGAGTTACTGGCCAACAATGTTGGGTTCGTTTCAACAGGGCTAAACGTTTTACTGGTTTCAAACTTTGCGCAACAACATGCAACCGGCTGTCCAAAGGGACGCAACATGTAACACCCAACAATGTTGGGAGTTGTGTTGGCCAACAATGTGGCGTCCGTTTGCACGTGGCTTAAGAGTTAACAATCTTAACATATACCTAGACTGGATTTGGCTGACTGCCCCGACGTTGTACCTCCTCAACGGAGGGCAGAGCGTATCCACCAACCCCTTCCCCTTTACTGTGTTTAAATCAGAAGAGTAAGAATGTCTTTCTTATCTCACAAGACCAAAAGACGACTTTATAACAAGCCAACGAAAATCGTTTAAAAGAATCCAGTATGACGACAGACCAAATGAAAAGTCCCGAATTATGTAAACCATGAATGAGATTACAGCATCATTGAGCGTAAGGCGTGTCTTTGTGGGATGACGATCGAGTAACGAGTCTGAGTCGAGTTTGAGTCAAGTTTGAGTTAAGATTAAGTAAGGTTTGAGTTACCGTTTTGGGCGTTGTTTTTTTAATTTTTAAACTCTGTGAATGCGAGTGATGGCAAAGATTATCGGCGTTAAACATATCAAGCGAGTAATTTCAAAACAACGTAATTTTTCATTTCTACAAGTGGGAAAGGGCGTAGACACCTGCAGCCCTCCCCCACAACCTCCCTCCTCCCCACCTCCTCAGCTCCCCTTCCTTGGAATCCCGCCTTCTAGAACCCTGGAACACATTCTGAACGCCTAAAACAGGCTATTTATCGTGAGCAAATTATTTCAAATTAAACGAAAAGAACGTCTAATTACCATAGCTTGAATCCTGTCATCATTCTCTTCGATTTCACTATAAAAGGATCGAAAGACTAGCGCAGAAAGCATTCTGCATGCACTCCACATAATGCACTCTACATTTCCTATGGTTTCACCAAAAATTCTGAAGAAGGTTGGAGCATCTTAACAAAAGTGAATTCACGCTGTTTCAAAACTCATCGCTAATATTCCACGTCGTTCAATTTGCCAAATGTTGGTATGTTTTTCTGAAGATGAATTCTAAAAGGCCGGTATCTAAGTTAACAAAAAAAGAAGAAAAATAAAAAAATGGCTGTATGGTGTTTCCGTCCTCCAGAAAATGTGAAATTAGGCAGCAACGCAACGTGTACCCAACAATGACAAGAATTCGCATTCTCTGAAACAGTTCGATAAATGCGTCCAGTCAGAAACGGTTGTACCGCTCTCGCCAAAAAACGAAATAAAAAAAAAGCTGGGTCGAGAATGTCAAAACTATAGCAGGGAATCTCATACCCTGTCATACTGTTAAACTGACGATTCAGATCCAACACTTTGCAGAAAACTATGGAACCAAACCCTAAAGGTTCATGGGGCGCTTTTAAAAGTGAGAAAGGAAAATCCCTACACCTACAGCTAGCGATCAGAGGTCAATTTCTGATAAAGCAAAGATAATGGGCGTGATTCTTTCAGGAAAGCACGTGAAGTCCACCTTATTCATGAAGCTAAGACAACTGAGCATCTGGGCATCAATAAACGTGATGAACTGTAACTATATATAGTATATCTTTTATTTTTTTTGTTATCTTGTCTTTTTAAGTAGCCACACCATACCACGTCATATTATGTAATTTCCGGTCATCATTTTTACTTCATATTTCTGTAAATTCGTGATATCTCAATAAACCTGATGAAGACTGGTATTGGCCAGTCGAAATATCGCAACTAAACTCTATTTCACCTTGTTTGATCAGTCCCTGCTAAAGTCTTCTTGACTGTAACGTTTTCAAAGATAAGAATCTACAGGAAATCACTGTACAGCACAAGACCACATGACCTCGCAGAGAAAGAAATATCAGAAATATCTGCTAAATCCACACTACGACAATTTCCCTGCTAGCAGAGGTCTCTCACGACGAGGCAAAAATTTTTGCCTCGTCGTGAGAGACCTCTGCTAGCAGGGAATACGACAATGACTACGAATCATCCAAAACAGACATTACCAGTTAAGGACAAAAAATGAAGGAGCAAGTGACGTATTAGCAAGGCACAACTGCTTTGTAGGTATACCAAATCCCCTTTTTTATAGTTGACGAAGGCTAAAACACGTTTTGTGAAAAGGGCGAGTTAGGCTTATGAGCTATTTCGCAGTATTTTCAATTTTACTACACAATCACAGGAGCCGATGACAATCAGTGACTTAGACTAGAACAACACTCTAAATTCACTTTGTTTTTAATCTTTGATCAACAAAAAAGTGGACCTATGGAACCTGTAGGGGGGGGGGGGGTTGCGAGCGCACCCGTCGCATCCCCCCTTTCCCTACGGACCTGTAACATTATGCTAGCCCATGATGCCGTTGATCGGCGAAAGCTTGGATTTTTTAAACAGAAGTTTGGGGCCTCACTAGAACAGTTTTAATTAATTTTTTAATTGTTTGTTTTTTTTGCTGAAGGACAACATGAACAGGCTATGCTAGCCGTTTACTTCTCTTTGTTAACTTTTTGAGGTAGACAAGAGTGAGTAATAAAGTTCACTAACTGGATGTATCTTTTTCTCTTTACAGCTAATTTATACGTCTCGCAAAATACGCAAATGATGCAATTAACGGACGGACACTTTGTTTTACACAAGCCAGACAAACACTCCAATTTAGTCACACTGACGTCAATTGTGTTCTGTGCTGTTTACTGCACTTCTGTCCCTAACCTTCTACTTTTAGTAGTTGTTTTTTGAAGGGGTATTTCAAGTAGACTTAGGGTAGAAAATTCTAGGTTGAGAAAAAAGTTGTGATCTAATTGTGAGGCAGGCAATCAACTGCGCGCCAACTTGTGCTCACAAGTAATTTGCATCTAAACACGCACACAAAACAAAATTGTCATTTTTCTTTAATTAACGGCGTGTCACAAAAGTTGTGTACACCTAGTAATTCCGTAGTGAATAATTAATTTCCCGTGAAAATGTGGATTACTTTACAGCACTACAAGTTGCAGACAAAAACAACGTCAACCTGGATGAATGAAC